TAACTCAACAACGCCGTAACCGAATTTCAAAAACCAAACATGAAATGATATCAGAATTTAACGTAGCATCTGAATATGTAATGATATACAGGGCGTTCTATTTTAAAAAATGGAATTTTGGTCCGTAGCACCTACACCAAACACCCTGTATATTTAAAAATTATATCAAAATATAGGTCTCATGAACTCCTAAAACTTTTGTATGAAACATTTTTGTGTATCTCCTTCAACAAACCAGATATTGCCTGTCACATAAAATGTGGGACACCCGGTATATACATACCACATACATGGGTATATATACATAGCACACTTGACTATGTATATATATATAATATACACGTGAGTGTATATATATATACTTTGCACTTAGAGTGTTTATACACTACACACTTGAGTGTATATATCTATATACATATATATCCAGTTCAATGTCAGTCATCGAAGTATTTGGAAGGTTTTGCATACAGATAACTAGAATAAAATAGCAAACTTACCTAAAGAGACATCCTGCGACGATATCACGCTGGGATTTCTATAATTCTTGATGTAGTTATCAGCGCTCTCGATCTGCAGCTTCAAGGCGTGCATGTCGTTCTCGAACTTCTCAGCCAAATCAAGGAAGAACTTGAGCGGCGCCACGTTCTCATACTGCAAACCAGGAGGAGTGTCCTGCGTAGCTTGCGCCATCTCCACAGTTTGCAAACACTTGGCCGTGTCGTACTTCATCTTTTCAGCAAAGTGCCTATTTTTCTGCAACTGATTCTCCACTTCGGTCAGAAGCTTCAACATGTGACCGATATCGGCCTCGACTTTCCTGAAGTCTCTCACGGAACATCTTGATATGTCGGTGCTGTACACTTTCTGCTTCTTGACCATCTCTTTGAACGCATCGACGGTTTGAACGATCTCATTCGGTAGAGTCTGTTCTTTCGGGCTGACATCCTTTTGCTTGGATACGACCGTTTGAGCGGGCGCGACACCTCCCAAGCCCACCACTGGGGGCGCTGTGGTCGATGTGAGGCTGGTGCTGGGTGCTGTAGAAGCCGCGGTCCCTCCCAGGCCGAAGCTCAAGGAAGGGGCTGAAGTAGTGGTGCCCCCTAAGCCAAACGAGGGAGGTGCATTGGTAGTTGTGGCAGTACCAAGGCCAAACGACAGGCTGGCTGTTGTGGTGACAGAGGTGGGAACTCCGAAGGTCAAACCGCCAACAGTAGGGGCAGCTGTGCTAGCAGTACTCAAGCCCAAGGTGGGTTTTACTGTACTTACCGCCGAGCCAAACGATGGAAGAGGTCCGCCAGGTGTCTGTGATGGTACTATTAATAATAATAATAAATCCTTTTATTCCCTTCAGAGGCCATACGGGGTATGTTTAGAAAATAACGGGAATTTTTTAATTCCACGGGTTTGGAAAGTCCAATTGTCTGTTTTTTGACTACGTTGTAATGTGTTTCATCCTTAAACCCATGTACTTATGAAAGAGATGAACTCATAGCGCAATATTTCAATTTACTCAAAATATAACAAGCTTAATGGAAAGAAAATATTTAGGACTTGGTATGATTTTAGATCTGTCAAAGACAATTGACTGCTTGAATCACGAGACATTTATAAAAAAAACTGGAACTATACAGTATAAGAGGAAATTCACTGAAATGGATTGTCTCTCACCCAACTAATCGCCAACAAATAGTAACTATTAACAAACGTGGTCGAACATATACATCTGAGAATGTTGCAGTGAAAATAGGAATACCCCAAGGAGGCATTGCAGGTCCCTTGTTATTCATCATCTACACGAACGATTTGTTATCATTCCAACACGGATAACTCAATGACAGTCTTTGCTGATGACACCATTTTGTTAATAGACAGTGAAACATACCCTGAACTGATGAAAACAGGTATAGAAATGTTTAATGATACCTCCTTGTGGAGAGTAGGCATATATGACATCAAAAGGGCATCGCTGTAAGAGCTAAAATATTATCCCAAAGTGTAAGAAGTGTTTTGAGGATTGTAAGAAGTTCTGGTACAATGAGACTATTTTGAAGGTGAACATTAATGTAGACGAATAAATGCTTTATTTAAAAAAAAAACGTTATTTTCTGAACATACCTTGTATATGAAAAAGTGATCTACTATTTGAGATGGTGCTATTAAGATAAATAATAACTTTCAGCGGAGGTTCTCTTGAAAATATACCCCTTTCAAACAACTCTTTGCTGAGCTCTCAGCAATCATCAGAAACATATTTAAGATGTAATCTTTCCCCAACAAATGTATGATATTAGTTGATCATAAAGTTTCTGATGAAAACGAGCTTCAGGTTTTTGAATTTATATGTCTTGGAGTACAGCCTTGAGATCAATTGAGCACAGCAAGTTTTGTAAATCAGATTCATGTCAATGTAGATAATGGAAATGTAGGAATTGTGGATTTAGACACGAACATGTGTTAGAGAACCAGCCATTCATGTGGAACATTTGACTTTTCTGATGTTATACTACAGGCGTCATCAGCATACAAGTTGAAATGAGCTCCAATATTTACTTTAATAATATCATTTGCATAAAAGGCAGAGAATACCAGTCCCATGACTGGTTCTTGGGGGACTCCCAGATCATCAGTATTGCTGTATTCACAGATATCCCAAATTCAAGTGATATAACAAGTTTTGTAATTTCCAAACACAACCTTGCAGTGTAGACAATTTTCCCCGTAAGTTGCATATTGCCTCGGCTCTAGAAAAAAAGCTAATGGTGATTTTGAAAGATTTATTACCTGCTGTAGCTTGTCCGAATAAACTAGGAGTTGTGGTAGAAGTTGCCGGAGTTGCGGTAGTGCCAAAAAGCCCTCCGCCAAATGCTGCAGGTGGTTGGGCTACGAAAAACAAACAAAAACATTGATGAAGCATCACAGATCCCAATAATCCCAAATCGGAACCTCTTGCTGTTTATTAGGCTTTGTGAAAAATATGATTGAACAGTATGTCAGACGATTGTTACCTGTTGGTGCAGCTGAAGGAAAAAGCAGAGATCCTGTAGCAGGAGCAGAGGTTGCAGGGGGTAAACCGAAGCCAGTTTTCAATGGTTGGGCAGTTGGGGTCCCAAAACCAGTGGGTTTGAGAGTACCTGCCACAACATAATGATTTTAGGATTGCATAACTCAGGGAAGTTTCTTATGAAGATATCACTTTCGAAATGATGAGACTACACACAATTTTGGAATCAAATGCTTCAGCAGGGTCAAGAAATATGCATATTGAAAACAAAAACCCAATGGTAAGTTCTGAAAGGCTTATGACATCGGCTTTAAGTATATTTTCACACTCAACATAACCATTATACTAATGTTCACCGACATAAATCATAGATTGCTCCTTTGAATACTGAATTATAAAAATAAATACTATTTATGCCTGCTCTATGCTTATATACAGACCAGAGCTCAAGCATTATGGAGAATTCAACCTCTTTTTCATTTACCTGTTTGGGAACCAAACAATCCTGTTGTAGATGTAGCAGGAGTCCCAAATTGAAACCCACCAGTAGATGCTTGAGTGGTTGGTGTAGCACCAAATCCAAAAGAGGGTTGATTTTGCATTGTGATTTCCTAAAAAATTTATTAACTTTTAACATTATTATATATTTTTATTTAATATCTATGGATACGTTCGACAGATAGGCTTTCAAACGTCAAATATCTAACACACTTTTTATCGTATTTCCGATATTCCCTACAGAGGTCGTATCGGGAAGCTAGAAAACTAACCTCCTTACGTCACATCAAATCATGCCTTCAATAAAGTAATGTATGGAGTTGTTTTCATAAAGTATACCTAATAATTGAAGAAAAGAGGTTTCGATTTTTGAGAAAATGGTGTCTTGGAAGCTCACCAAATGCATCTTCTTGGGTTCCCTTCCAGTGTGCGGCTACTTTGCAGGAACACATCTAGAAAGACAAAGGCTCTTGGACCACTCTAAGGACACCCAACTTCGAAATTTACCAGCTTTACCATTATTCGGAACTGTCTCAGCAGCTTCCCCCATTGCTCCCGCCCAATCAACACAATTCGAGACTAATGTTAGCAGAGTATCGCAAATAATGAAATACGGCTTTCCAAGTCTAGACAACGTAAGATCTTTTGACGACTATGTTTTAAGCTACGATCGTCGTAACAGGGTGGCGCATTGGGTCTTTGAACATCTCACTGCAGACAGGGTCAAACCTAACGACGGAGTAGATAGATCGAAATGCGAATTTAAACCTGACGAAAGTATACATAAGTTTTTCAGGTTCGTGTGTGTATTCTATCAAATACTTCAAGTCTCGATACTTCAGCCAAATACATCATCTTAGTAGTCCAGGTTTTCAGATCATATTTGTTTATTTACAGGTAACCATCAGTTGAAATATGTGATACACCAAACATTTACAATGTTTACAACTAAAAATTCAAATCTAACCTTGAAACCATAGTTTTTTCTTTTGTAAGTGTGCCCAGACTAACTTAAAGGTTGAATAAACTGACTATGAAAACACATTCAGTTTATTGCTACCCTCCCAACTATGTCCACGACAAGTATTGAATGCTCTACTAGTCATTGTCTCTAATAAGAACACAAATTCACAAACGCTAAACCACAATTTTCATTTTGTACTTTTTCAGGTCTGACAATTCTGATTACAAAAAGTCTGGGTATGACAGGGGTCACTTAGCAGCGGCTGGGAATCACAAATCCCATCAAAGCCACATAGAACAGACTTTTTACCTGTCTAATATGGCCCCCCAAGTTGGGAAAGGATTCAACAGGGATTCCTGGAATAGGTTAGAGAAATATGTGCGAAAATTGACGAAAGTGTACAGGAATGTATACTGCTGTACTGGGCCCCTTTATCTGCCAAGGTAGGGTCAGGTTAACTTATTCAATAATGATAATAATAATAACATTCTTTACTGTCGTTTCCTCAAAGTAGAAAAAAAACACCAAAAAGAAGAGTATGTGTTGAAGAATCTAATACAGATCAGTATAATGAAAAGTTTTAGGTAATAATCACCTCCACTGCCTTAAATAGCTGCGTAATGTTTTGTTTCAACAGTCATATCATTTGAGTAATTGTCACAGTTGAAAAACTACTATTATGCTCTTTGGCAAANGAAAGTCCAATTGTCTGTTTTTTGACTACGTTGTAATGTGTTTCATCCTTAAACCCATGTACTTATGAAAGAAATGAACTCATAGCGCAATATTTCAATTTACTCAAAATATAACAAGCTTAATGTCAAAGACATTTGAATGTTTGAATCACGAGACACTTATAAAAAAACTGGAACTATACCGTATAAGAGGAAATTCACTGAAATGGATTGTCTCTCACCCAACTAATCGCCAACAAATAGTAACTATTAACAAACGTGGTCGAACATATACATCTGAGAATGTTGCAGTGAAAATAGGAATACCCCAAGGAGGCATTGCAGGTCCCTTGTTATTCATCATCTACACGAACGATTTGTTATCATTCCAACACGGATAACTCAATGACAGTCTTTGCTGATGACACCATTTTGTTAATAGACAGTGAAACATACCCTGAACTGATGAAAACAGGTATAGAAATGTTTAATGATACCTCCTTGTGGAGAGAGAGGCTAGAAGGACTGCATGTAGACTCGGCCAATTGCACAAATAAATTTAATGCAGAGCGCAAACAGACTAGACAGTCAAGCGGCGTTGCAAGCTCTTGGCTCCTACCAAGCAACGTCTAAATTGGTGGGAAATTGACAAAAATGGCTCTCCTCATTACATGTCAATGAAACTGTAAAATAAATTGCCTAATCGAATCAAGGATTTGAGGAGCATAAATAAATCTAAGAAAGATAAAACAATACTAATTGATTCAGAACCATATAGTTTGACCAGTGTGGTCAAGCATGTAGGTTTTTCATGTATGTCCACTGTGTTCTTCAATTTTGATAGCTTAGTGCACCACAAATTGTCGCCACGAAGTCAATTGATCAATAAGAAGTACTACCGACAAGTTCAATGCCATTTGAGTGAAGCAATCCGAAAAAAACGCCCAGATTTGCGGAAAAACAATTCAAGGGTGTTGCACCAAGATACATATAACGCACCTGCTCACACTCCATTGCTTGTTCGTGAAGTTTTGGTCAAGGACGATACCGTAACTATGCCGCAGCCTCCACGTTCGCCAGACATGGCTCCGTGTGATTTTTTCCTATTTCTAAAAATAAAAAGAACCTTAAAGGGCCCACGTTTCATAGGCATATATGACATCAAAAGGGCATCGCTGTAAGAGCTAAAATATTATCCCAAAGTGTAAGAAGTGTTTTGAGGATTGTAAGAAGTTCTGGTACAATGAGACTATTTTGAAGGTGAACATTAATGTAGACGAATAAATGCTTTATTTGTAACATCTAGAGGGCGCTGCGTACGCTGTCATTATTTATTTCAAATTGCCCTAACTTTTTTGGCAGATAACTTTTGGTACTTTTCATGAAAAAACCTAATTCCCACACCTTTTCCAAGTAAAAAAGGTACACCTCCTCAACAACGCTGCAGGTGATCGTTTTCTAGATATTTACAATTTTCTCAAAAAACCCCGGGTACCGAATTTCGTGCAAATATAACTTATTTTTTGCAAAAAATTCAGTTCCAACACCCCGTATCTCCGAAACGAAGCATTTTCGAACACAAAAGTTCATATAGACTTTTTTTCTTAAAATTGTCTCAGGAATACGTCACTTGAATATTTTAATGTACTTATGTTACACCCTGTATATTTTATTCGGACTGATACAAAACAAGTGTTGTAAGTTCAAAAACACTTGGAATAAATATCGTGAATATACTTGCCAGTTCTCACGCAAACATTCGTAGATGTCTTGACTTTTACTCTGTTTTGATGAAGAAAAGTAAATGGTAAAGCAAGACAGCTGCGCCCCCAGACGAAGCTTCTGTTCACTATGGACAGAAGGAGTCTGGCCAAATGCGCTCGACTGAGAACCAACGGCTATATAAATAAAAGAAGAAGAAGCCAACTTCAAGGTATCGGTTTTTCCCTAACACGCCAAACATAAGTATAACTTCAAAAAATCTATGCCAACTAACCCCGGCCTTCCCCAACTCACACTTTGATTTTGTACATACCTTGCTTCCAAGTCCTGTCCAATCCGCCGTGCAACCCATGAACGAAGATCACATCGACTAGAACATCTTCAGGTTCCGACAGCACGACGCAATCCACCGACTTTTCCGGATCCTCGGAGCACTGTGCACCTTCAGTGATCACGGCTTGGTTTCGACCGTGCTGGTCCTTCATTATCCTCAAGGTCAGCGGCAGCGATATCCTCTGGACGGAGGCAAGCGACCGTGAGATTTTGTTCGCCAGGAAAGCTACCACCGCGGGAAGGACTTCCTGCCTAACATTACGCAGGACGACTTGCGGAGGGTTCCTGAGGAAGGCATAGAACACCGTCGAAACGGGGGGCAGAACGGCTCGGGCTACCAGCTCGACGGTCTCCCGGATCTTGCTGGACGAGGTCAAATGTCAAAAATTAGTGCTGTCGATTTATGACATGGTGACGTTGAATTGAGTTTGAGTCAATGATACCGGGTGGCAATGTTTTTGGGGATTGTATTTGTGTCTTCTAAACAAGAGCGGTTTTTTTTCAACAGTGATAAACTACACATAGCACGTTTTAGCATAGTTTTATTCACGAATGACTGAGATGCATATACACTGGTGTAGCGACTTGATGTTGTTTACGTGGACTGTTTTTTTGAAAAAATCACGCTGACATGAAACATTAGTCTAATCAGCTTTCAAAACAAGGATGACATAAATCATAGATTGCTCCTTTGAATACTGAATTATAAAAATAAATACTATTTATGCCTGCTCTATGCTTATATATAGACAAGAGCTCAAGCATTATGGAGAATTCAACCTCTCTTTCATTTACCTGTTTGGGAACCAAACAATCCTGTTGTAGATGTAGCAGGAGTCCCAAATTGAAACCCACCAGTAGATGCTTGTGTGGTTGCTGTAGCACCAAATCCAAAAGAGGGTTGATTTTGCATTGTGATTTTCTAAAAAATATATTAACTTTTAACATAAATGCAAGTGCAAATGAATTTGCTACCTTTATTTCAGGAACAATATGAAGTTTATTTCAATTCCACTGCTTTTACAACATTTGTTGGCTTTCCTAGAAGAATATTCAACTTGTATCGATCATTTTTTATATACGACTATCATAACATTACGAATTAAATAATGAAGAATATATATAAAACTGAGATTTTCCAATCAAAATTCAAACTACGATTCCTCTTCTTCTCGTTTTTTTGGCCTCACCTGAAAGGGCTATATGTCATTTATGAAATTATACATATGTCCTTACCTAGCCGAAGCTGTTTTGCCATCCACTTCATAGTAATACCACATCAACCATGAATTGTATTATCTTCACTCACAGTGATGTCTCAACCATTCATATCAATGAAATGTTTCGTTTCCTAGGAAAGTTTCACATTATTTCACAATCAAAAGTATGGAACCTAATAGCTATGGAGTGCAAAAACAATTAATTTAAACTTTAGAAAGGAGTTATTTTATTTGTTTCATTTTTTTCATGTACTCTCTACATGAAATAAATGAATAAATATGATCTAAAATCTGTAGCCATGACCAGCTTCAATGACAATTGAATCTGTCAAAAGCATAAACAGAAGAACAGATTGAACGATTCATTTCCTACCCGTCTGAAAGAATCTGTAGCCATGGCCCGCTTCAATGATAAATGAATCTGTCATAAGCATTGAAAAAAAAAAAAGAACTGGTGAAAGGTTAATACCCCACTGTCTGAAAGAATTTGTAACCATGGCCAGCCTCAATGACAAATGAATCTATCGAAAGTCGGACAATGCTTGTTAATTGACTCTAAATAATATTACTGGAGTTTTTCCCAACACCATCAAGAGGAAATCAAGTTTGATATTTCTCTTGAAGATAATTACTTGGTGATCGAAACACGTGTCGAGATGTTGAAATAGGGGTTTGGTGTTGGGAAAAAACTCCATTAATATTTATTACCACACCAAATGTTCCAAACAGTGCATCACAAATTGACTCTAAATTACAATTGAACTTTGTTCTAGCATAAATTCAATTGGGGTTTGCGGTCGACCCAGGCCCTCTTCAGTGTGAGCTTCATCTGTAGTATCAACACGTTTCTGGAACTCCTGGCTGGATAGCCTTGGCAGCTTAAGCCAATAATGGAAATCGAAAAGAAGAACAGACTGAAGAGGTAATATTTGTGATATGTGATATATGACAGATGCATGTATATACGCTAGATTTTTAGAATTGCGGTAAAAGCATCATTTATCATTATTACTGACTAGTGTATTATAATACAGTCAATATGTCGTATCTATCAAGAAGAGATGTCGACGACTTGAAGCCTTCGATCGAGAAAGTGATTTATAAAACACTTGGTCATAATGATTCCTCAGTAGCTAGAACGGCTGCAGATTGTGTGAGCAGCGGGTATGACAGAAAAAAAATGGCGGACAAATTGGGAGTATATCTGGATAGCAAGAAAGCCAAAAGAATAGCTGAAAAGATTCATGATTTAGTGGAGGATTACAAAAGTTCCCATCGCTCAAAGAAAAGGCCCCGTGACGAAGAAGACTCAAGAAGTTCAAAAAATGAGTCGAAATTCGACAATAAAGATTCACAGGGGGCTAAGCCAAAGTCGATCGAAAGCGAGAAAAAGACCACATCTGCCAATAAAAACGTCAATATAGCAAACTTGAATATTCCTCCACCCAGTATTTACGGAATACCTATGGGTCTGCTGAACAGGGGAGATGCAGATAAGGCCCGTAAAATTGCCCAGCTCCAGGCCCAAATAAAAAACAAACTATCGACGGGCATTCTGGGAAATGTTATTCAAATTCCCCTGTCTCAAAGCAAACCGGCCCCTTTAATTTTGGACGAAGACGGAAGAACTATCGACAAATCAGGTAAGCATTATATACGATTGTTGTGAATTCACCATATTACATTTGAATTATGTACAGGGTGTTCAGGAATTAGTTGACGGATATTCAAGAGCTGATTGGTCTGGCCAGTCTTGAGAAAGAAGTAGGTATGCATGTAAGTTATAGTTTCTTCAAATTGGATTATTTGTTTTGATAGTGGTTGAATTCAAACATGGAATTCGGACGACTTTTTTAAGTGACTATTAAAATATTGATTTATTTACAGGTAGGTGTGCTTTCCATCAAAATATGGTCAGTTTAATCTTGAGAGATGTGCAAATCAATTGAATTGAAGATATACTTTGTTGTCTGAAGAATAAATTCTTATTGACAAAGCCTTGTGCGAAATATGAGTAACATATAAATTAAATCACTAAACGTTAGTGATAACATGAACTGAAAAGAGACATGTAAATAACAATACAAACGTTCAGGTTATAAGAACATGGCCAATAAAGTTGAATGAATCAATTTAAACTAAATTGAATCAAAACAATAAAATACTGTAGATATACTGAATTAAAATTATCATCGTAGAATTCTGCTAAGGTATAATAAGGTCTTACAGAAAGCAATTCTTTCTTAAGAACGCTAACATCATTTATGGTTCTTATAGTTCGAGGAAGGTGATTGAACATTTCGAGAGCGTTGTAAATAATTTAATCTTTAACTAGGGTCAAAGAAGACAGCAGTAATTTAAAGCTAAATCTTTGTCTGGTTTGATACACTGGCATGTCCAAGTTGTTGAACAAGTTTCAATTTTTGAAGAAAAGGCAGATTGTCTCATATATAAATAAGGAGACCACCCCAAAAGCAAATACCATAACAAAGATGGGATTCAAAAAGGGAATGATAAACCATTCTAGCCACTGCAGATCCGAGCTCAAATGAAGTTACTCGTCTTGCATAACATCCAGCGGAGAGCTTGAATTTCAAACTATCAACATGTTTGTTGAATTTTAAATTATCGTTAACAGACGTGTTAAGGATTTTAGAAGTTGTTACATTGTCAATTTGAATATTATTTAGATGTACAGCTGGAATCTGGCAACGATAGGAAACTACTTTTGTTTTTGATAAATTCAAGCTCAAGAGATTTGAGTCAAACCAGTCTTTAACTTTCGTGGTGACATTCTCAATAACTTCATATAATGTATAGTTGTTGGGAGCATGCCATAAAATTGTGGTATCATCAGGAAATAAAGTACATTTTCCTTGGATGTTAATAGATGAGAGATCATTAATATAAATTAAGAATGAAAGTGGGCCCAGTACCGAACCTTGGGGGACGCCGCAAGTAATTTTACATTCATTTGAGTATGAAGTGATTTTCACCATCTGTGTGTATGACTCAAACCACTTAGGACTTATTTCAGTTATACCGTATCTACTGAGTTTTTGCAAAAGAATTTTATTATTCACGCAATCAAATGCTTTGGCCATATCATATATTTATGTTGGAATAAACACTGTAAAGAAATGAAAGTATGGCATCGGAAGTGTTATTTTACTTTTGGAAACCAAACTGGCAATCTCTTATTATTTTATTTTCACTTGGAAAGCAAAGGAGTCTTGTTTCAACTAATTTTTCTATGAATTTAGCCGTTGCAGAGACTAGAGAAATCTAAAATGTTCGTTATTTAACTTTGCATCCGACTTGGGAGTATAATTTGATGAAATCCAGGGACTCACCAAAAAGATAGTTGAAGAATATATACATATATACACACATACATATACACTCTACGAAAGTTGTCGGTTTTCTGTGTTTGCATTTAAACCACTCGAAGTTTTTCACTTCTCAACGAATTCTTCCTGACGCCCTGTATGCCTCACTTTCCGAACCAAAGTAAGTAAATCAGTATTCAATAATTCTGACTGAGGAGCTATCTGTTTCAACTTTTGGCCATTTTTTTTATAGGTAAAACTGTACAGCTCACCCATGTAACTCCTACCTTGAAGGCTAACATGAGGGCTTTGAAGAGGGAGCAGTTCAGAGGTCCCGGCGGGGATAAGCAGAACGAAGACAGTACCGAGACGAACTATGTCGATCCTAGAATCGGAGTGAAGCCAGCCATAAGGACCAAGAGAGCTTTGAGGTTTCACGAACCCGGGAAGTTTCAGCAGCTTGCTGAACGCCTTCGCATGAAGGTATGAATTGTTGTTATTCGGAAACTTGCTTATTCATAAATGTTATGATAATAAGACTTTCATTACTTTTTTTTTGACACGGGATCTGTATTTGGCAGAATTATCAACATTATTGCTTAATCTATTCGGGGGCAGATGGCGTTGTACCCAACCTTCTTGATATACTGATATTGCTTGATCTATTCACGTGCAGATGGCGCTGCCCCTAACTTCTTGATATATCAATATTATTGCTTGATCTATTCGGGGGCAGATGGCGTTGTACCCAACCTTCTTGGTATATTGATATTGCTTGATCTATTCACGGGCAGATGGCGCTGTCCATAACGTCTTGATATATCGATATTGTTGCTTGATCTATTCGGGGGCAGATGGCGCTGTTTCGGCTTCAACAATTTCTTGAATTGGTATAGTTTCTTCTGACTCTATTTCTTCATCTGCTTTCCTATATTAATGAATATCTTCATCGTATTCAGGTATAACATTCAATACAGGATAAATGTGATCAGATTTTACAATCTTTTTGAAGTGAATTTCAAATATTGTGGACTGCATTAACTCCGTAAGCCTGGCTTTAAATACTTTTACAAAATTTGGCACATCATTTTCATTATCTGTTCAATTTTTGCAACTTTCCACTAAATGTATCCAGGTTTTGATCGAGATGAAAATACTGCATTGTAACTAGGTTATTTCCAAAGCTTCGTCCATTTTTATGGGTCCACCATAACCAAATTATTGAGAAAACTTATTCGGATACCATTTATTTTCAGGCCCAGTTAGAAAAACTCCAGAATGAAATCTCTCAAATAGCGAAGAAGACGGGGATATCTTCTGCCACTAAACTCGCTCTGATTGCCAAATCCGATGGACACAGCGATGAGATTCCCGATGTGGAATGGTGGGATTCCCCTATTTTGGAGGATAACTATTGTACCATGGTCGGGGATGAAATCGCCTTTAAAGAATCCACCATAAACAACCTGGTAGAACATCCTACGCAGATGCGGTGTCCAAGTAAGTAATGTACTTTTGAATACGCCATACATCTTGCTGAAACGTTTCAAATTTCACGTGTTTGTCACTTTATTATATCTGTTATTGTTTTTGGAGCATTTGGAATATTAAGCAGTTTTGTAGGTACTCAAAATAAATGATTTTTCAGTTTTTAAATCAGTACGAAGCGGATTTAACCTCTTGTAGTTCTGCAGGGATCTTATACAGGGTCCATCACATTTTACTTTTTGCAAACTTGTGGTTCTTGGTCAAAATTTTATATTGGCCAAACCGGAAGAACTTTTTCCAAAAGAATAAAAGAGCATAGAAGTGGTTTTCCAAATGGGAAGACCAGTTTAACATTTGCGAATATAAAAGCCTCATTATTATCAAACGAATAATTATTGATCATAGATTTTTATCACAGCCGACCCCATCAAGCCCGTGTACATGCCGGTTTTCCTCACCAAGAAGGAAAGGAAGAAGCTCCGGCGTCAAAACAGAAGGGAAGCCTGGAAAGAGGAGCAGGAAAAAATTCGGTTGGGTTTGGAAGCGCCTCCGGAACCCAAACTGAGAATATCGAACCTGATGAGAGCGTTGGGAACGGAAGCCGCTCAGGACCCCACGAAAATCGAGGCCCACGTCAGAGAGCAGATGGCCAAAAGGCAGAAGACGCACGAAGACACGAATGCAGCAAGAAAACTGACGGCTGATCAGAAGCGGGATAAAAAGATTAAGAAAATCAAAGAGGATACGTCGTTGGGTGAGTGACTTCATTATTTAATTAGTTTGCGTATGGTGTGTTGCACTTTTGATAACGACGATTAACTTTTCAGGTGTAAACGTGTCCGTCTACAGGATCAGAGACTTGCACGAACTGGCTTCGAAGAAGTTCAAAGTGGAAACCAACGCGAAGCAGCTGTTGATGACTGGCTGCGTCATTTTGTATCCGGATTGCTGCGTCGTCGTCGTGGAAGGGGGGCCCAAGCAGCAGAAGAAGTACAAGAGGCTGATGTTGAACCGCATCAAATGGGAGGAGGATATGGTGAAAGACCCCGACGGCATGGAAGTGCCTAACAAGTGCGTGCTGGTCTGGGAAGGGACGACGAAGCAGCGGAATTTTGGAGAAGTGAAGTTCAAGGTGTGTCCGACGGAAAGGTTGGCCAGGGAGCACTTTAAAAAGCATAAGGTCGAGCATTATTGGGACTTGGCTTACAGCGGGGCTGTTTTGGAGCAAGCAAACGATACTATTCCTCTTTTTTAAGTATTTAAATAACGTTTTAAAGAAAAAGGTTGAAATGATAAGTTTAAAATGCGTTGTTTTAGAGCTCTTTTATGAAAACTGCTTATTTTCGTCATGAGGAACATTCCCCATTGGCAATACAACTGAAAGAGTCGACCCTCAATTTGGGAACGGGCACACTTACAGACCGGTTTCGGGCTCATTAGCCACTCATCAGTGCAAGATAGTGGCTATCATCGACCTAAAGTCAATTAAGATATTCCAATCGGAATTCTTTCAGAGTATTTCATTCCTCTTTCTAAGTTGGAGCGAAACAACAAAATATCACTCCATCTAGTGGACGAGGTACTGACCAACCGTGGTATTAGCCAGAGGAGTAGGCAGGTGCGCAAAGGAGGGTTGCAAATAAGATAGCAAGGCGCGGGTGTTGAAAAAATTCTTTTTTCAAATGAAGGAATACATGTAAAGTGAGTTTGAATTATATCAAGGAGGTTACTTACAGCGCCATCTGCCCGCGAATAGATCAAGCAATAATGGAGAAAAAAGGAGAGTTACATACATACAGGAGAAGCTAATATAAAGCGTCTAAAATAAAATAATAAAAAAAGCAAGCATGTTTTCCTTAATAATCCGCAAAATCTGAGGGACAAACGAACACTTACGTTGAGTGAGAGATAAAATTAGACTTGTTATAATGTTATTTATAAAAAAAATACACATTGAGAAACAATATGTTCAATTCAACTGTCTCAATAACTTCAATTCATTTTTATTAGTATTACAATAACAGATCTATCTTTTCTGTTATCAAAATCAGAGTATCATGGAATAACTGGTAGGGTGTTGCTATGGTTCAGAAGTTATTTACTCGACAAACCTCAATGTGCTAAAATAAACAGCGTCCTATCAAGTAAAATAAGCAATTGATGCCGGGGTCCCCCAAGGAAGTGTACTTGGCCCTGTTTTATTCATACGTGTGAATCATTGTATTGGTGCCACATGCCAGTGTAGGGATGTCTGCAATATTCTGTGTAATGTTCGCTGTAAGTAGACCCACCCGCTCTGATTCGAAAGTGCATATAGATTGTAACGACAAGGAGCAACATTGTCTGCTGTTCAATTGATCATATCTAATCTATCTAGCAGAAAGTCGATGGCAATATTCGATTTGCCTCTTTCCTTGCGACTCGAAACGTTGGTTTTTCATGTCAATTGTTTTGTCAAACTCTTGAATGTAAAATATGTGTCAGAGGCGTGGAATTCAGAGTGGATGGATGCGTCTCTCAATTCATCTTGTAGAAATTCACCAAGAGTTGTCCATCTTCAGACGCGAAATAAGTATTGAAATCTCTTGCTGAAAGTGTCAAAGTATGATAGTTTTCTTCTAATTTTTCAGAGCCACCTCTCTCTTGCTCCTACAGTAATGAATGAAACGTAACTCTCTTAAATCTTCACCAACTTATACCTCTATCAGCTTCCGTTCGCCTCGCCGGATCACACTTTTCGTAACGCTATCGTCACGCTTACTCACCAAATCAAGCGCGCCTAAAAAGTTTTACTTCAAAAACATAACATAGTATAAAATAAAGTTATCAAAAATTTACTGACGTCAGGTGAGAAAATTCCGAATTACAATAAAACAAACAGCAGTAAAAGTTCCTCTTTTTTATTGGTAACTCTACACTCAAGCCTCTCATAAGTTGTTTTAATTCATAAATGGCAATTTTTCTGTTTCCTTGTATTTTTTCAATAAATAGTACATTCTAGATACTTGAAATTTCTCCGTATTAATTGTCAAATACTGATATATATCAAATGCCTACATACAATTCTCTTTATTATCATTATTTACATCTGTACATTCCACTACTAATGGCTACACCTTTCTAGGCTTTTATTGATCAATTTCAGAAGTTCTAAATACAAAAAACAGTCCCGCCCAGCGGGTTTACATATTTCTCTGTGATCCAGAGGAACGTCACATTTTATTCCTACATGTGGATCTGAAACAAATGACCACTTAAGATATTCGGTGAAGCACAGAAAAAAAAAGAAGTATTCAAGTGAATTTTCAAAATTTCCTCATTAGTCTGACTAACAAAGTTTTTCTTCCCTATTCAGAGAAATCGGGCAAATTTCGGATATGCAGTTGTTTAGAACCTCGTCCACTAGATGGAGCGACGTTTTGTTGTTCGCTCCGACTTAGGAAGAGGAATCAAATGCTCTGAAAGAATTTCGATTTTCAATTGTGGAATATCATTGACTTTGAGTCGATGATGGTCACTATCCTGCACTGATGAGTGGCTAATAAGCCCGAAACCGGTCTGCAAGTGTGCCCGTTCCAAAATTGAAGGTCGACTCTTTCAGTTGTATTGCCAATTGCATATGCAGGACATTTTCTGTGAAGATTCCTGCACTGACGCCTGTCTGATATAATCCAACGCCCTTCGTGGTATTAGCC